TAATCTCTTACCCTAGTTTGTTCAAGTGTGTGCATATTTCAACCCTCTGGAATACCCAAATCAGGATGAAAAACGACTCATCTTCAATTATACCTGAAAATTTAGCCTATGACATATTATATTTTGCAAGATTCCCAGCATCGGGTGGGAGGCTCTGTGGTCACACAAGTGTGGGAAACACTGCTTATCAGCCCTTCCTTTGGAAGATTTACCATCAGTCATATTAAAGGCTTTGGCATCCTGTAACAAAAAAGCTAACCAGACTCAGTTTTGACTTCACATTTCCCAGACACCTAACTATGGAAACACTCCCTTTATTTTTCTTTTTACCATGCCACAAATTTGCAATTTAAAGTTTCTACAAAACTCACTGACATCCATCAATCACTGAAATCAATCTCAGCTGTCTGTTCCTCTGGTCCTTGTTTGCTGTAACTGTTTGTTAGTTGTGTTGTAGAGCAACTTCCTCCAGTCCTTAGGGGCTTCAAATCATAGCCATTTATTATAGTTTTTCCAAAGTCTATCGTTCCCTGGGTGATTCTTCTGATGTGTGTTGGTCATGCTTAATCTCAACTATGCTTATTCATGTATCTGTAATCAGCTGGTAAATAGGTGAAGGGTAACTAGTCTGGCCTTTCGACTGTTGAGATGACTCTGCTGTAACCCATATGCCACTCATGTTCTTCTTCTAGAAGGCCACCTGAACAGAATCATGAAGCTGATCTAAGTTTCTGTCATGTTTGTTACAATCAAGTGGCCAGACTAAGTGACTTCAGTGAGCTGAGAATAAGAGTGGGGGGGCATCACAAGTCATGGGGCAAAGTGAGAAGTTATGAGAGACGTTAGTGGAGGCCATTAGTGATTAGCATCTAGTACATCTATTAATTATAAATCTGGGAAATGGTACCCAATTGGCTTCATCAAGTAGTAACAATGCAAATCCTGAGATATTCATCTCCAACAGAGGGCCACAGAAGAGTTGTTACCTATTATCTATCTTCATTACCTTTCTGTTGCTGTGATCAAGGAAAATTATAGCAGGAAGAGTTTATTGGGTATATGGTTCCTGAGGGATAAGAGACCATCGTGGATGGTGGCATGGTGGCATGGCAGCAGGTGGCAGGTGTGTCAGCTGGAGCAGGAAGCTGAAGGATTTCATCTTCCACTGCAAGCATGAAGCGGAGTGAATTGGAAGTAGGATCAGACTACAGATTCTCAACCCTTGTTTCTCATTTCCAGTGATACATTTCTACCAGCAAGGTTTCTCCTCCTATATCTTCCAAATAGTGTACCAACTGGGGACCAAGTGTTCAAACACCTGAGCCTGTGAGGACATTTCTTACTCAAGCTGCCACATGCCACTATCAGGCCTCTATAAGCTCAAGACCACGTCACAATAAAAAAAATGCATTTTAGTCAAACTCCAAATGTCCCTGTGGTGTTTCAGAGTCCCAACACTGTTTACATGTCCAAAGTCTTATCTGAGACTCAAGGTAATTTCTTAATTGCAATCCCTCGTCAAATAAAAAAAATCGAATTTCATACCTCTGATATATAATACAATGGAATATGCATGTTTTTCTATGAAGGAGAAATTGGGACATAGAGAATAAACACTAGACCAAAGTAAGACTCAAGCCTAGAAGGACGACCCCAAATCCGATAGCTGACCACTTGGTGTTAAGCGTTTAGTTGTCTCCACCCCTACAGCTCTGTCACTACAAACACTTCTCTTGCTTGGAGGTGATTACATTCCCCATTCACAACTCTCCTTGACAGATTTCTCCAGCATCTTTAACATCCTGTGGTGTCCACTGCAATCCAGGCTTCACATTCACAGCTTCACACATGGCCTCTCAGGACCTTCCTAGAGAGACTCCTCTGCCATACAATGCTTGGCATCAGTGGCTTTCTAAAGCTGTAGGGAAAAATCTATAACCCTTTAGTCTTGCATCCTCATGACTCTAAAGCCAGGACCATGTGATGACACTACCCAGTGGGGCTGCCAGCTTGAGATGAATCCTGGCCCCCTTGAATCACACTAACAAGCATGCTTTTCTATCCCTTGCTTTCTGGGAGCAGAAAACACCTTATGTTATCTTTCACAAGTTGGAAGCTTAGCTGGGTGGGGTCTTGCCCTGAGGGCACCCTTCCCTTTGTTCTAGTGTGAAGCTGACCCTACTTAGTGTTGCTAATCTCATTAGCAATTGTGTCCTCTCTTCCAGTATATGGCTTAGTTCTAACATTAATCTTCCAGGAGCTCTCTTACTCTCTAGCATGTATATTTTATATTTCTTTCTGCCCCACTTGCTCTCTTCTGCTGTAGGCCTAAAAATGTTATCAGTAACAACCAGGCCACAAATTCAACATTACACTATCTTAAAACTTTTCCTCCAAAGAAATTAGTCTATTACTTTTAAAGTTAGCCTTGGGTAAGCTCTTAGAACAGGGACAGTAGCCAGATTCCTTATAAAAATATCACAAGGATGACCTCTAACCTGGTTGCTGTTAAAGTCCTTGCTTCCCTATGAAATCCAGAACTTTTCCATTTGCATTGTTCTCAGACTACTATCTTCCAAACTCCTATTAGCACAGTCCTTTACAATATCCAACTGCTTTTCTCGTTCTAAGTTCCAAAGTCTTCTATGTTCTTCCAAACAACATGGTCATGTGCTTCACAGCAACAGCCCACCCTCAGTACCAACCTCTGTTGTTTTGATAAAATGTCATGACCATGCCAACTTATGGGTTACCATGCATCTCTCTCTTAGGGTTCTCCCTGTTACCAGCCTTTGTGGCAGTGGGATTGTAGGCTGGTAATCCCCTGCTCCATGTCTAAAATCCATATATGAGTGAGTACATACCATGTTTCTCTTTTTGTTACTGGGTTGCCTCACTCAGGATGATTTCTTCTAGTGCCATCCATTTGCCTGCAAATTTCAAGATTCCATTGTTTTCTACTGAGTAGTACTCCATTGTGTAAATGTACCACATTTTCTCTATCCACTTTTCAGTTGAGGGGCATCTAGGTTGCTTCCAGGTTCTGGCTATTACAAATAATGCTACTATAAACATAGCTGAGCAGATGTTCTTATTGTACGAATGTGCTTCTTTTGGGTGTATGCCTAAGAGTGGAATTTCTGGATTTTGTGGTAGACTGATTTTCCATTTTCCTGAGAAACAGTTCATTTAGACCTTCAGTTCCAAAGAGATAGGAGTCCATCATGGTGACCAGAGCAAGAAGCTGAGCATGATTACATCTTCAACCAATCATATGAGGCAAGGACTGAACTGGAAGTAGAGTCAAGTATATACCCTCAATGCTCTTCTCCAGTGACATAATTTCTCCAGCAATGCCACACCACCTAAATGTCTATAAGCTTTTGGGTGGATCCAATGGGACAGGTATTCTGGCCCTTGGGAGTCACAGAATACTGTTAAATACTGTCAAATGGAAAAGTATCCTGGAGCTCAGGGGCCACAGAATACTGAGTGTTACACAGCTCAGATGGAAAGGTATCCTGGAGCTTGGGAGCCAAGAACTACCATAGGTTGCAGTAAGCTTAGCAGCTTACAGCCCAGCCTCAGGGAAAGGCTTCAGGCAGGAGAGGGTCTTCCAGCTGGGGATGTTTGCCCAGTGCAGCAGTTTGCGCCAGCAGGAGGAGGTCCCAGGCAAAGTTGCTACAGTTTGGCTCTGCTCCCAAGAGTGTGGAGAGCTGAGTGTAACAACTCCGCTCTGCCAAGGGAAGGTCTCCCCAGCAAAAGTGTTATCTGCTCTGCTGCAAGCTTGTGGAAATGGCTTATTAGAAGGAAGCAGCTGGACCAGCCAAGCTGAACATACACAGGGTTTATATAGGGAATCTTGGGGGTAGGGGAAGTTTTTCCAAGGTAGGGATGGGTCAGATTTAAATGTTGAGCTCAGATTGTCTAGAGTTCCTGCTCAAGGATTGGTTAGTTTTCTGCACAGGGTTAGGGTCAGATTTGGCTCTGGTTTCAGGGCCAAAGTGTGATTCTTTCTCTGGTCCTTTTTTAGCCTTTTGGCTCTAGTTTTAGGGCCAGGGTGCATTTCTTTCACTGGCTCTGATTCCAGGGACAAAGTGTGTTTCTTTGACTCTGCTCTGCGTGTGTTTCTTTGGCTGGTCCTTTTTCCTTACAGTGTCTCTTTCTTAGTTAGGGTTTCTATTACTGTGAAGAGACACCATGATCACAGCAACTCCTATAAAGGGAAAACATTTAGGTAGGGTGGCTTACAGTTTAGAGGTTTAGTCCATTATCAAGATGGTGTGACAGGGTAGCCTGCAGGCAGACATGGTGCTGGAGAAGGAGTTGAGAGTCCTACATCTTGACTTGCACGCAACAGCATGTGGTTTGAGACATTGGATAGGGCTTGACATATAGGCAACATCAAAGCCTACCCCCACAGTGACACACTTCCTCCAACAAAGCCACACCTCCTAATAGTGCCACTCCCTATGAGCTTATGGGTATCAATTACATTCAAACCATGCCAATCCCCAAACAGCACCTTGAACTGGGGACCAGGTATTCAAATACTTGAGCTTGTGGGGGGCATTTCTCACATCCATAATCGTAAAACCTCATTAGATGTTACTGATGATGACTCAGGCTAAAAGCTCTAGTTTTAGAGCTTTTAGTAGATAGTTTTTTCATTGATATGGCAAAATGACTGGTCAAGGTAGTAGGTCTGCTATTGAAATAACATGCTAGTCTAGCCTGATAGAAGGATGTGAGAGGCACATTGAGCAGAGCTGCACCATCCCAACCCAGGCCAGGCTCGACCAGCTAGTCCCAGCTTATTCTGCCAGGGGAAACTGTTTATCTTGTCTTTTAAGAGGATACAGTCCATCATCACATGAAAGGCATGGCAAGTTCATGGTGATGGGAGCACAGGACTAGGATTCCTTATACTTTATAGGATCAGGAAGCACAGAAAGCAGGGAATACTGGACTAATCTGGTTTTCTCTCTTTCCCATTTCAGTCCACTCTGGGACCTCAGATGATGGGAAGATACTACCTACAATCAGGGCGAGCCTTTTCTCCTTAATCAAACCTCTCTACAAACACATCAGCAGCATGAGAAGTATGTCTCTTAGGTAATTCCCAATCTAGTTGAGTTGACATTGAAGAGTAAGCATCACCCCCCTCCTTGTGTTCAACAGTGTTAATTATTCTCTTTAATCATAAGGGCCACAAGGAATAGGAGGAGATCTAAGACAGCTATTCTCAAGCTGTGGTTAGAGACTCCTCTGGGGGTCAAATGACCCTTTCACAGGGGTGGCATGTCAGATATCCTGCGTATCAAACATTTGCATTATAATTCATAACTAGCAAAATTGCAGTTATGAAGTAGCGATGGTTGGAGGTCAACACAACATGAAGAACTATATAAAAGGGTCATAGCATTAGGAAGGCTGAGAACCACTGGTCTAAGATGTGAAGCTGTCCCTCCTTCCTGTGATCTTCCAGTTTATAGCAAGCAAGACTGATAATGATAAGTTAGGTAGCAGCAGGTAAGCATGCTTTTAATACTATGACTCTTCCCTGGCTTAAACTCTTTCCTGTCTATGGCTATAACTGGGAGGTTTCCTCTAACAGTGCCTGACACAAGTCATTCTATGAGTGTCATGTCCTCTGTCAAGGAGAAAGCTATAGAAAAGGGTCTTAGGCAGGAAATGTTAATATAATTGGACTCAGAAGAGTCTGTTAAGTAGAAGATTCTTATCTCAAAGATTGTGAATGCCAGGAGCCCTATGGAGATGTAATTGTAGAGGAATTGACTGTGAGAACATATTAGCATTATCTTCAAGCTAAATATGAGATTACTTCCCTTCCACAGATATCAAAAAGTCACATATTATTATAAGTAATATCCTAAAGTAATACTGAATTTCTATGTGTGTGTATTGTTATATATGAATATATATGTATTCATATATAACCACAGTCAACTGTAGTTAATGTACAACAAGTAATTTGAAGACATTCATATATATTTTTTACATTCAAATGTTGGTAACTTCTATTAGTTAGCTGGGGCTGCCATAAAAAAGAACAACAAACAAACAAACAAACAAAAAACAAACCAAAACTGTAGGTTGGGTGACTCCAATGACAGATATTCTTCCTAGCAGTTCTGAAATCTAGAAAGATAAAATTAAGGTAGAGAGTTGGTAATGTGAAGGTTAACATTGCACTCAGACTTAATATGCTTGAGAAACCAAAAAGCGAAAAATGCCTCTAACATCTAAGTCCCTGACTTGTACAGGTTGTACTCTATCAACCCACTTCCTTTTTTTCCCCTAATGTTAAAGACTATTCTTAAAATTGGCTGATTTTGTAAAATTTGCTGTTCAAATGGTCATAAGACTAACTGCTATTTCTGCTTTTATAATCAAACTTGCTTACTCTGCTCAATGACTGGGGCAACTGCAAGATATATACATATTAAAATTAGGCAAAATATGTGTGCCCTAGGATATGGCTAGAAACTGCATCTAGGGAACGATCTGGGTTGCAGTAGTCCTGGTGCCATTACTAACGAGTGCCAGTATTTAATAAAGCCTCTAATTAAATACTGGAACTAAATTAATACTAATTAGTAATACCAAAACACCTAATTTAATAATCTAAATTAATACTAAAACATCTAATACTAAAACCAAAACTTGAGTCAGACTGGTGAATCTCTGAACAACCCCAGTCCCACAACAGTTTCTGCTGAGGCCATCTTCCTAGTTTATGGATGTCTCCCTTAACACACATGTCATTGTATGTGAGGACAGAGAGTAGGCAGGCAGGCAGGGAGGGAGGGAGGGAGGGAAGAGGGAAAGAGAGATTAGGGTGTCTTGCCCTTTATAATTACAGGATTTTATTGAATTTGGGTCCTACCCTAACAACCTCATTTAACCTTAACCATCTCCTTAAAAGGCCCATCTGTGACTACATTAATTGTCCCTCCTTGATGGTAAGGTTGATGACTACCTTATATGCCATCCTAGAACCTTCATCCAGTGGCTGATGGAAGCAGAGACAGAGACCCACAGCTAAATACTGAACTGCACTACTGGAACCTAGTGACAGAGATGGAGGAGTGATGAGCAAAGGGGTCAAGATCATGATGGTGAAACCCACAAAGACAGCTGACCAGATAAGGGGGAGCTCTAGAATCCCAGACTGATGGCTGAGAAGCCAACAGGGGACTGATCCAGACTCCATGAATGTAGTGCCAGTGAGGAGGCCACAGAAATCACTGGGGCCTTGGGTAGTAGATCAGTATTTACCATGGTGTATGGATGATCTTTGGGAGTCCATTCCAAATAGAGGGATGCTCTCTCAGCCTGGACACATGGGGAAGGGCCTAGGTCCTGCCCTGGATGAAATGACAGACTTTGGAGATCCACCCCAAGCAGGGCTTCACCCTCCCTGGGGTGGGGATTGGATGGGGGGCTGGAGAGGCTAGTGGAGGGACTAGGGAGGAGGGGTGGGAAAGGGAGCTGGGATTGACATGTGAAGCATTCATGTTTCTAATTTAAATTTAAAAAATTTTAAAAAGGCCCATCTGTGAATACATTCTGAATGGGGATTAGACCTCCAATTCATGAATCTGGAGAAAACCCAATTCAATCCTTTATAGCAACCAATGCATTAGACCAACGCCAACCATACTTGCTACCACCACTTGATGCTTTGTCCAATCTAGCTGGAACATGTGAGGCCAAGGGATGCTCTGAGCTACTTAGGATGGCTGTAGTATGAAATCGAGAGCCTCTATGCTGAAGGAAGGACACTAAATAAGCATCAACACCACAAAATATGTGGATTGTGTACTTCATTTAACATAATGAGCTTAATGAATTAATGATGTTATATCCTGAAACACTGCAAATGTAAGTTTATACAGTCAAGCAAACCTATCATGCTTACTCTGATTATAAATTATAACTTTAAGGGGGAAAAAGTAAGGAAATCTTTCTCACATCCCTAATAAAAGTGTCGCCATGCAGGTGTGTGTTTTATATCTTTTTTTTAATCAATAAAGGCATAAGTGACTAATATTTAAATCACTTTGTCTTCTTTTATTTTATTCTGTTGATCATATGTATTTCAGTGAATCTCAGAATGAAAATGTTAATTGTGTGGTGGGTAAGCGTTCTAAGTCCTGAATATTAGGGCAATCTGGCTATGCCATCTGTCATCGCTTGGATCGCCAGGGTTGATTTGGCTGACCTGGCTGGCTAGGTGTGTATCCCTCCTGAAGTTGTATCCTCAGTTGAAGAGGGCAATCTTCCATGAATAGAGGAGGATCAGTCTTCAGTCAAGTGTGTATGAGTAGCTGTGCTCCCCTGGTAGAACCTCCAAACAAGCTCTCAAGAGTTCTAAGTCCTGCTAGCTTCCAGTATTTGTAAATAAAGTTTTATTCTAACACAGTTGTGTTCATTTGTTTATGTAATATCTCTGCCTGCTGTAGGGGGTGAGGGGTCCCTCACAGGGGAGTTTAGTAGAGCCCATATGAACAACCAGCACAGTCCCAATTTTACTATGCAATCTTTTACAGAAAACAGTTGCTGACTCCCACCCTCAACTCTAGCAAAGGCTGGCAGATAAGCACTAACTCTGTAGTACCTTGTTGTGTGGTTTTAGATGAGTTATCTAGTTCTCTGTTCCTTAGATTTTCAACTATAGATACATATAGTAGTATCTGTCTCTAAAGTGTCCTGAGGATAAACATGTAAAATCTGTTGCTAAAAGATCCTAAAGATAACAAATGAGCATGTAAAGATCCCAGGATAGGGCAGGAAGTAAACTAAAACTTAGAATTGGTTACTATTCATAACCTGTGACAAACTATCTCCACATTGAAGATGTTAATGTAAGATACATTTATAATTAAGAAAAAAATTAATGGTACTTACAGGCCTGGCGGACTCAAATCCACAGTGATGAGGATCTTTTCTCAACACCATTCCAAAGGCTTTCAAGGATTTCATTTGCATATGAGTGTGCCCAATGGGGTTGAGCAAACTGGCTAGATCTGCCTGGCACTGACTCATTTCAGGAAAAAGGATAAATTCTTGGTAAGCTCTAGCAAAGTTTAGTTTATTAACCACACAGTTAGTAGCTCTTAATAATTCATGTGGGAGACCAGAGAGTGCCAGAGTTCTGTTCCCAGTACCTACATCCAGCAGCATGCTACCACCTGTAACTTTCAGGGGAGCCAATGTCATGTTATGGCCTCTGCAGACCCCTGTATACTTGTAGCATGGGCTCACACAGATACCTACACATAGAGGAAATAAAGCAAAAAATTCAGTTTCACCATAATTATCTTTTGTTGTGCTGTAAGTCAATCAACTTAAACTCTGTTTTTGGTTGTATTTATAGCTGACCAGATCTTAGTTTGCAATGGTCTGATCCTTCCTCTTCTAACTGGATAATGACAGCCGTCCAATTCATTGGTTCCATGGATCCAATTCCTAGCTTTGCTGTGAATGTGATTCTGTCCTGTGGTCACTGGTTGAACCTTTACCTGTGGTCAGTTGTGGCAAACAGGCCTCTGAGGAGGATAAGTGGTAACTACTACAAGTAGTTGAGTCATCATCAAGACTTTGCCCCACTGAAAATTTTGTCTGGGTGATGACTGCTACATAACTCAGCAGCACTATTATAATTACAGTTCTTGATCTGAGAGGAGGTCAGCAGAGGTAGCTCCCAGTCTACCTGGGGTTACACAAGGTTGTTGGCAGCTCCTTCAGTACGTGTCAGCTTCACAGTTATATGGGTAACACTGAAAATAGCAGTCATCAGAGACAACTTACTTGTTGAGTGAGGAGTAGGAAGTGTGAATAGAAAATTCCTTATAGAATCTGGTGGTTGTTTTTTCAGAAGTCTCTTCACAATTTTTCAAAATAAATCTAAATTAATCATTAACCCATGGGCATGGCTGGAAAGGAGCCCTCAAGTGAGGAGACTTGGCCACTTAGAAAGACTCATTTGCCTCAGTAAACTCTAAGTCATTGTATCTTCTTTTGTAAACCTAACAGGTTTATTTGTGTTTGTTTTTGAGACAAGGTGTAGCCATGCTGTAGCCATACTGTAGCCATGCGGGTGTGGAAATCATTATGTACCAAGGTTGGCTGGGAACTTGTAGTGATCCTGCTGCCTTAGCCTCTCAAGTGCTGGGATGATGAGTGTGAGCCACTATCTCCAGCTCCCAGTCAAGTGTTGAGGTAGACTTTGGGTTTTGGAGTTTTATATGCATAGCAATATTGAATGGATGATAGAGATTTGCCATACATCCCCATTCTTACATTTGCATAGCTTCCCTTATTTACCTCCCCACAGGGGTGGTATCATTGCTACAGGTGACAAGATATGACTGGCACATTACTATTATCTACAGTTTATCATGGTTCATTATTGTTGTGTGTTTAGAAAACCATGCAGTAATATGTATTCAGTATCATTATATCTAATAAGAGATGTCTCTTTCCCCCAATCTTGGAAATCTATGATCTTTGGTTGTTTTTCTGTCATTTTACCAGTAGGTCGTAAAGCTGAAGTTATGGTATGTAGTCTGTTCAAACACCCTTTCACTTCCTAATACAAACCTAAGTTTTCTCCTTGTCATTTGAAAGCTTTATGCTTCAGATCATTCTTAGTGTTGAATAATATTCCAATGTCCAGATATATGGCAGCTTATTTTTCAAAGATTTTTAATTATTTTAGTGTGTGAGTGTGTGTGTGTGTGTGTGTGTGTGTGTGTGTGTGTACGCGTGTCTGGGTCTAGGTCTCTGTGTGTGTGACTATATGCTGTTCCTTGAAGAAACCAGAAGTGTTGTACCCCTAGAGATGGTATTGCAGGTGGTTGTGAGCCAGTTGGTGTGGGTGTTGGGAACTGAGCCTGGGATTTTGGAAGAGTAGTATGCACTCTGAGCTACTTTCTTAGTCATCTCTCCAGCTCCCATGATAGCTTATTCACACATCCTCCTGCTAAAAGGTATCTTGGTTCCTTTCTCATTTGGGGTGAAGTTGCTATAAGCATTCATGTGTATATTTATATGTGAACATAAACATTTTTTATTCTTTTGGGTAAATACCAAAAAGTATGATTGCTAAATTTTAAAATAGAAGTACACTTAATTCTGTAGGAAACTACTCAACTGCCTTCCAAAGTAGCTGTACAATTTTACATTCCCACCAGGAGAACTCTCCTGCTCCACACCTGTGGTGAAGCCTTCAGTGTTGTTACGGATTTGGCCTGTTCTAAGACAGGTGTGATGGTAGTGAATTTGAATTCCATGTCTCTAACCATCTTTTCATAAGCTTGTATATCTTCTCCTATGAGGGGTTAATGTGTTTAGATCATATTTTGAGTCAAGTTGTTTTTGTATTGTTGGGTGTATGAATTCCATATATGTTTCAGATGACAAGTTAATCCTTTATCACAAATCTTGCCTGAGCATTTTTCTTTGTGGATTTTCATTTTCTGGTCTTAATATGTCTTATAGAACAGAAGTTTTTAGTTTTAGCAAATTCTGCCTTGTTAACTATTTTCCCTTCACGAATCGTATATTTTGTATTTTATCTAAAACATAATTTTCAAATTCAAAGTCACCCAGACTTGCTCCTCTGACATTCAAGGAGTTTTATAGTTTTGTGTCCATAGTTCTGTGTCTCTCTGAGCAAGTGTATGCTTAGATTCTTTAAAAGGAAAAGGATTTGCCTGTGAAATCATAGTCAATCAAGCATAATTTGTTGAAATCTTTTCTTTTCTACATTGTATTGCCTTTACTTC